GTAGTAGTACCTTTGCGTCGTCTGAGTTCACATAGATGTGACTAACACGGAGATGAAGATTTGCAGCTGAGATAGCTCTCACGCGCCAGTCGGTCTTGGAACCGAATGCTTGCTGCTCGTATGGACTAGTTGTGGTGACTATAAGCTCATCGCCATGGACGTTCGTCGTTCTTGATGTAACCGCTGTTAACCGACTATCTTCTTTGGCCTACAACAGCCGAGAGAAAGCCATCCATTACGAACTCAAAATACGAAATAGAATTTTAAGCAAGCAAAGCACGCATGACCGAATACGAAACCTGTTTCTCGATTTCGGCCATCTGTTGTCTCTGCTGCGAGGGTGGAGCAATCTCCGCACCGAGTATTATGTCACGGATTTCAGACTGTGTTAGCGCAGATGTATTCACATTATTCTTCTTGGAGTAGTCTGAAAGAATGAGGTCTCTCAGTGCGACTTCCACCTGAATCAGATCTTTCCCTCGTTAACCCATAACATTATCTTTAAATGGTAAAGGAAGGAAGGCAATAATAAAAGGCGCTATCGAATGAGTTCATTCTAAGGAACGTTACCTTCATCCACTCATCGTCCGTTAGAGAAGGCCAGATATGGTGAGGTTGGGTGATGACGGTCTTGTCAGGCCTCAGTAACATCTTTGCTTTCTCATTGTTCACGTGCAGCGCCCGCAGAATCAATATGAGACGGGAGAAGGCAGTGTACGATGAGATAGTCTTCAGCCAATCATCGTAGATATTAAATAGAACCATCTGAGGTTCGGTAGCCTTTAAAATCAGATCACCAAACTTGTCGATCTTCAAGCAAGCCTGGAAAGGCAACTGTAGCTCACTACCCTTGATTACGATGTTGGGGAAATCGAGCAAATGGACCTCTAGAGGATCCAGCATTCCTTTGCGAGTGACGATGATTTGTTTTGGTTGCTCTTCCACTGGCAATGACCGCACAAGAGCAGCTACTTCTTCTGCGGTTTTCCACTTGGCCAGCTGACCCAGCCGTTTCTGCCCTGCCCACACGCTCGTATGGATGACCTGCAAGATACCAACCAATCACAAGTCTGCACCTCAACAAAATCAAACACAGCTCAAAACCAAGCTGAGCTAGGTTTTAAAGAAATCGGTAAACCTTGAGAAATAGCTGTCCTGTTCTCGGATTGAATATAAAGATGGCGCCATTTATGGGCTTAGTAGTGAGATTTCCCTCGAAAGTTCGATGTATTGTTACTCTATACACATTAGTGTCGTCGACAAACCATTTAATTTGGCTGCTGAAAATTTCTCCGTAGTTTTGTGACGAAAGATAAGGCTCGGTTGGCTCGGATGAGTACAACTGTAGACCTTTCCTTATGCGCTCCCTCAGGACATATAATGCCGGATTTGACTGCATGAAAACATGAGAGAGAGTAAGCAAAACAATTGAAGGTCGCAGGTAAAAGAAGAAGAAGAAGAAGAAGAAGAAGAAGAAGAACTAATATACCTTCATAATCTTGTTCATTGCTTGAGCCAATAAAGGCTTCGACCCAGGGAACCAATTGCCGAAGGCTGAGTGAAGGTTATATGCCAAATCTAATCCGATCATGACGCCTGCAAAAACACACAAGATCATCATTTAGCAAGTTCCCAAATGACCCCATAAGAAACATGTGCCGAATGTGGCAATCAATACCAGTGGGTGCCGGATATATGGACATGTTGTCCGTTGTGTAATCCATAAACTTGGCCCTAGCATAACGTTCTATGTCATGGGAATCATAGTCCCCCCAACGAAGTTGCACATCGATCCAGTATTTATTGCTTGCTTTTTGATCGAAAACATCCTTTGACTCGGCAACCAGGCTTGGCTTGGACATGGGCCATCTATGTGCAGCAAAGAGAAGAATATCAGCACAGGAACTGTTCATCTTGTAACTTTTTCTTGGGTGTATAGTCTCTTTTTGCACCGTCTCAATCTCCAGTGCATCCAACTCTTGATCCAAAACTTGACAAAGGTCCATGACAACACTCTCATGAATCTTTTGCCAT